AGGGGTTTGGGGGCGTGGCTAAGGGGTTTGGGGGCATGCTTTGATACCTTGGGGGCGTGGCTAAGGGGTTTGGGGGCGTGGTTTGTCACCTTGGGGCGTTGCTAAGGGGTTTGGGGGCGTGGCTAAGGGTTTGGGGGCGTGGTTTGGTCTTTAGAAGGCGTGGCTACGGGTTTGGGGGCGTGGTTAATAGCTTGGGGGCGTGGTTTGTCCCCTTGGGGGCGTGGCTAAGGGGTTTGGGGGCGTGGCTAAAGCGTTTTCCCGCCCTTTTTAACCCTTTCCCAGCCATTTTCCTCCCATTTTTAACCCTTTTTTCCCCATTTTTAACCCTTTTTTCCCCATTTTTAACCCCTTTTTCCCCATTTCCCCCCCGTTTTTCACCCAAATTTCCACTCCCAGTCCCTCCCAGTCCCTCCCAGTATAAACCAGTAACCCCAAACCCCATTTTAACCCCTTTTCCCCCAATTTTAACCACTTTTAACCCATTTTTAACCCTTTTTTCCCCATTTTTAACCTCTTTTTCCCCATTTCCCCCCCGTTTTTCACCCAAATTTCCACTCCCAGTCCCTCCCAGTCCCTCCCAGTACAAACCAGTAACCCCAAACCCCATTTTTAACCCCTTTTCCCCCAATTTTAACCACTTTTAACCCATTTTTAACCCTTTTTTCCCCATTTTTAACCTCTTTTTCCCCATTTCCCCCCCGTTTTTCACCCAAATTTCCACTCCCAGTCCCTCCCAGTCCCTCCCAGTACAAACCAGTACAAACCAGTAACCCCAAACCCCATTTCCCCCATTTTTAACCCATTTTTTTCCCCATTTTTAACCCTTTCACGCCCATTTTTAACCCTTTTTTCCCCATTCCCCCCCTGTTTTTCACCCAAATTTCCACTCCCAGTCCCTCCCAGTCCCTCCCAGTCCCTCCCAGTCCCTCCCAGTACCTGGCCCGCGCTTGTCCCAGCCGCACACCATGGTCCCCAGGCTCAGCCCCGTGCCCTTGTACTGGTACACCAGGTTGGCTAGCAGCTTGGAGGCGGCGGCCACCGACACGGGCTCCTTGTTCCGCAGCTCCTGCACGCGGCTCTGCCGGGCCACCAGCCGCTGCCAGAAGCTGCAGTCGGCCGCGCCGCCCGCCAGCGTGCCCAGGATGTGCCGCGTGATGCCCAGCGCCTTCCGCACCGACTGCGACGCGATGTACGAGCCCGCCGTGGCGCGCGAGTCCACGGCCACCGTCACCCCGAAGGGCGTCTGCCTCGGGGAAAAAAGTCACACTTTTTTACCATTTTTTTCCCATTTTTTTAGCATTTTTTTCTGATTTTTACCCATTTTTTTCCAATTTTTACCCATTTTTTTCCCATTTTTTACCCATTTTTTTCACATTTTTTACCCATTTTTTCCCATTTTTTACCCTTTTTTCCTCCATTTTTTCCCATTTTTTACCCTTTTTTTCTCATTTTTTACCCATTTTTTACCCATTTTTTAACCATTTTTTACCCATTTTTTTCCTATTTTTTACCCATTTTTTACCCATTTTTTCCCATTTTTTACCCATTTTTTCCCTTTTTACCCATTTTTTACCCATTTTTTTCCCATTTTTTACCCATTTTTTTCCCATTTTTTACCCATTTTTTTCCCATTTTTTCCCCATTTTTACCCATTTTTTACCCATTTTTCCCCTATTTTTCACCTATTTTTTCTCTATTTCATCCCATTTTTTTCCCTATTTTCTCCCATTTTTTTATACATTTTTTGCCCATTTTTTTCCCATTTTTTCCCCATTTTCCCCCATTTGATTCTCTCCCCAGCGCCTTCCGCACCGACTGCGACGCGATGTACGAGCCCGCCGTGGCGCGCGAGTCCACGGCCACCGTCACCCCGAAGGGCGTCTGCCTCGGGGAAAAAAAAACGGGGAAAAAATCACATTTTTCCCCCATTTTTTACCATTTTTTTCTGATTCTTTAGCATTTTTCCGCATTTTTTTCCAATTTATTCCCATTTTTTATCCATTTTTTACCATTTTTTACCCATTTTTCCTCCATTTTTCCCATTTTTTACCCATTTTTTTCCTATTTTTTACCCATTTTTTACCATTTTTACCCATTTTTTTCTCATTCTTTACCCATTTTTTTCCTATTTTTTACCCATTTTTTACCATTTTTACCCATTTTTTTCTCATTCTTTACCCATTTTTTTCCTATTTTTTACCCATTTTTTACCATTTTTACCCATTTTTTTCTCATTCTTTACCCATTTTTTTCCTATTTTTTACCCATTTTTTACCATTTTTACCCATTTTTTTCTCATTCTTTACCCATTTTTTTCCTATTTTTTACCCATTTTTTACCCATTTTTTACCATTTTTTACCCATTTTTTCTCCATTTTATACCCATTTTTTTCTCATTTTTACCCATTTTTTTCACATTTTTTTCAACATTTTTTCCCATTTTTTTCCCATTTTTTACCCATTTTTCCTCCATTTTTTCCCATTTTTTACCCATTTTTTTCTCATTTTTTACCCATTTTTTCCCTTTTTACCCATTTTTTACCCATTTTTTCACATTTTTTACCCATTTTTTTCCCATTTTTTACCCATTTTTTACCCATTTTTTACCCATTTTTTTCCCATTTTTTACCCGTTTTTTTCACATTTTTTACCCATTTTTTCCCATTTTTTACCCATTTTTCCTCCATTACTTCCCATTTTTTACCCATTTTTTTCCCATTTTTTACCCATTTTTTCCCATTTTTTACCCATTTTTTTCCTATTTTTTACCCATTTTTTACCCATTTTTTACCCATTTTTTTCCTATTTTTTACCCATTTTTTACCCATTTTTTACCATTTTTTATCCATTTTTTCCCTTTTTACCCATTTTTTACCCATTTTTT